TATATAACTATAATCTTTTTTCTTTTTTGGAGGAGTAGGAGGGGGGGCAAGCCCTTCAGATGTCTCTGGATGCTTGCCGCCTTTCTGCTCGCTGCGTAAAATCAATTCCACTCCATTTAACACCGAGGCGTCAACACACGTTTATGTGACATTGAGAGAGAGAATGGGAGAGAACGAGAGGGTATTTTTGTGTGAGTGGCACCTCTCATATCTGCTGTGAGTTGTGGCGGCTTCAGTCTTTATGGAGTCAGTCCCATCAGTTAAGGGTGGTAAAAAAAAGAATACTTTTAATCGTGCTGGTTCTTAGAGTAAGAAAACAGGTGAACACAAAGAGGACGGTCCAACATACTGAGAAGTTGTCAGAGGGTGATCTTTTTTAACGATTGACAATTTTAGAATCAGATTCATAAAAAGCAGCCGAGTCAAACAGATCAGCCTCGAATACAAAACACTCTGATAGTAGCAATGAGGACGTTTGAAACCATGGCTGAATGAAGAAAACACACACATAAAATGAATAGTGTTGCTGTTTGAACATTAAGTGTGACTACTCAAAGGCACTGAAGAGAATTCTCAGATTTCTTCAAAAAGTAATTCATCAGTTTGCATAAATGCACTGAGAGGGAGGAGGACAATTTGACAAGACTTAAAGAGTGTTATTTAGTGTGTGTGTGAGTTAGTGTGTGCCTGTGTGTGTATGTGTGTGTTAGTGTGTGTGTGTGTGTGTGTTGTGTGTGTTGTTCACACTTCTGACAGATGCTGAGGGATCACTTCAGTCTGCAGAAAGTCGGAAATAAGCGGTGCGACAACTTCAGGATTATTCAGATGGACGTGATGATCTCCTGGAACTGTTACACTGAGAGACAGAGATTAAAAAAAAAAGATTTTCAGTAAAAGCTTGCAGAAGTTTTGCATGGAAACTTTTTAGTTTCCATGCATTATTATTATTCAAAACAAATGGCAGGAGCTGATTTAGAACTTCTTTTCTCTCATGTTTTGCCTTCTTTACATTGTTGCTTACAATGACAATTCGTCACAATTTCATTCCATCGAGTACAATATGATTCAATACAGTATTATATGATAATGTATTTGACGGTTAAGTAAAACAGAATAAGAAACAATACGATACGATACACAGTGCAAAACAGTAACATACAATCCACTCTATTGTCCACTTAGGGTAATTTGTTTTGAACTTAAATTCAGCTCATCAACTTATTTTACTGTATGATTTGTAATTACCCCAATGAATATATAAAAAGATTGACGATCAAATTAAACTTTTTCCAATCACACAAAAGTTTCAAACTCACATTTCTGTCACGATATCTCTGGAGAAGGATGGAGATTTTTTCCTGCTGCTTTGAATCATGAAAAGTGGGCAAACCTTTATCTGCTCTAGAAAAAATAGAGATTTTGACAGGGTTCAGTATCAAATGTTTTGATACGTTAAAACATTGCAATACAACCATCTCAAGCAGTGATTAATAACTTACAAAATACGAGAACCGAGGCCTTTATCCGCGACTGTCTGCTCTGCTCCAAAGTGGACGCACTACGTTTGTCTTAAACATAAAATAACACATGTACAGAACTTATAGAGAGGGTTGGATGAATGTGGAGGGAAATTTGAAGATTTAGGATGTCAAAGGGACTTACATAGCCGTGCCGCACGTCTCTGGAGAACAGGAACCCTGCAGAAGAAAACACATTCAGCTTGCAGCAGATGAGAGAAAGCAAAGTGAGATTTTCCCCCTCAGAGAGGAGAAGAGGAGATAAAGACAAACCTCCTTGGACTGCAGTCAGACCTCTCTAAAAGGATGTGGACAGACTGTTCAGACAGAGTTTGGTTTGAGGCAAACAGTCTGTAAGAGAAAAGAAAAAACACTTAAGCTGACAAAAGACAACTACTAGAAACTTCTTCTTTTAAATTTGACAAACTTTATTAATCCCATGAGGGGAGATTACTCTTATTGAAACATGCATAGGCTGAAAAATACACACATGCACAAACATCCTGTGGACATGCACTAATGGAGAGATGTCAGAGTGAGGTGCTGCATATGAAGGAGCGCCCGAGCAGTTGGCGGTTCGGCGCCTTGCTCAAGGGTACCTTGGCAGTGCTCAGGAAGTGACCTGGCACCTCTCCAGCTACCAGACCAACGTCAGGCGACCCTCCAGTTCCAATCCAAAGTCCCTGCAGACTGAACTACTGCAGCCCCAAACTCTGTTTTTGTGTGTGTGATTAATTGTATTATGTTCAATATTTCTCACATTTATATTTTTATTATTTCAACACACGTAAGACAGTTAAAACAACAATGCAAAAGAACAAGGACAAATGTGCCTACATTACCCACAGTGCAACTAGACTGCCGATAGTCCTAAGAGTTGAGTGTTTTTTAACAGCTGAGATAAGGAGCTCAATGAAGAGGTCGGATAAGACGACTTTATTCACTCTTCACACTTTGTAATTTTCATATTTAGTTTCCAGCTCATATGGACATGAAGGAATATCAGATGCAAAGAAAAGTATTCACCTTACTTTTTATTTCTACATAAGCAGTAGTGCACGCCAAGACGCACGATAGTAACATTGGTGAAGTTGCCGTTATGATACACTTCAGCAAAAACCTCCCTCACACACTCAAGATGATTTAATTGAACTTTTACCTCTCCATTGCCTCTTCGTAAGTGTAAACTCTTATTTCCTGTTCTGTCATTCTGTCATACTCAAGCATCTTGCATACACCTTCCCTCGTCACCTTGGAGATTTCTTCCTGCATGAAAAGAGAGACAGAAACACAGTGGTGTGAGATTCCAACACTACTGACAGGGATGAAACTTGAAATGAAAGTTGATGATTAATTGCACTGATTGTTTTGTTTCATTTCATGGCCTTTTGTTTTAATTTCTTTGTAAAGTATAGTGAAAATAAAAACTGTGGAAGTTCAGCATCTTTTGGTAGAAATCCAGAAGCATCCAGCAGTACAATAGCATCCACCATGTCAGGATACTTTGCACTGAACTGTGGGAAACACGAAATGAACCACATCTGAAATTTTACAAGCAAGTAAGCAAAATAGTCCATGTTTACTTGTAATGTTGTAGCAATGAGTGTTAGTTACCATAGCTGCGATGTTTCCACCTGTAGGGGGCTAAAAAAAATCGATCAGCGGTTTCAGCTGCTTGATGCCAACACAAAAATGAAATTGCCATTAAAGGAGATCTATTATGCTCAGTCTTACCATGAATTATGTCAGACTGGGACACTTATTGAGTAGTGATGCGAGATGTGTAGCTTGATAAACCCTCCTTATTTCTCAAATACTGATGTTAGTAAAAAATAATTTCAGCCTCTGCCTTAAACGGTTCATATCAGCGGCTGTTCCTTTAAGGCTCCCCGAAGGCTAGATTCAGAGGTATTCACATGCCCGCACGTGCCTCAGACATGCCCGCTTTCCTCTAATTGACAGTTTTGTTTGCAGTCGCAGTAAAATTGGTGGGCGTGTCCTTAAAAGAGCTGCCAGGTAGGGCAAGTATATTCTACTTTGCTGCATGGTTTCTCTTAGACGTCGCCAGAACCTGATGTCAGGTTCTGGCCAAGTCTTGCAAAGTTCTCGTAGCATCTCGTTCGGAGCAGCAGGAAACCACGTCCACGGATTACGGCAACAACTGTGTCTCGTGTTTAAAAAAACTTTGCAGAGGTTTAGTATGGACATCCAACATATTAAAATTATATGTATGTATGAGCAGAAGATCTAGAACAAAAGATCAGCAAATCAAGAGGACGTGCCACAACACGGATCCCTCATTCACAACAGCGAAGTAAATGGAAGAAAAAAAAACATCCTTAGAGCCTGGTACAAAAAAAAGATTTTAGTCCGATTACTGTAGTTAATATCTTTTTTTGGCGCACACTGTGAGAGGGGGTGAAAGTCATCTGTTTTAACAGGGTTGAACCATTGACTAAAATCACCCTCAAAATCACGCCTATCTTGTTGCCTGACTTTTCTTAAGGCTTTGGATTGAGTGAGTATAACATTAAAGGTCCCATATTATGCTTTTTCTGGTTTTATATGCTCTTTAGTGTGTTTAGTGTGTCCTGTGCATGTTTAAGCACATCTATGCGCAAAAATTCAAAGTCCGCGGAAACGCGGCTTCTCCTACCTCCTCCTGTTAGCTGCAGCATTAGCTGCATGTAACGCTCGGTTCTAGCCCCCCTCGATAAAAATGTGTCAGTGCGGCGTCATTGTCAGTGTGAGATCACTGATCTAAGCCCATTGGCTGACTCAGAGAGTAGAGGGAGCAAGGAGGAGCAGTACATGAAAACAGACACTTTTTTCGGACTTTATTGTGAACGTACAAAAGTAGAAACATAGATTAAAATATACGAACTCCAAAAAGGGCAGAATATGGGCTCTTTAACACGCTATAGGTGGCTGATTTCAACACGTTGACCCAGATAAACTGAATATTTTACCTTCTGAAAACACTGCTGAGAATATAAAACGGTGTAAAAGGAAGCATTAGTACACTGCCTTTGAAAGATCAGCACACAATCTGATAATAGAATATGTAGAACATTAACTGCTGCCTTGAAGGATTTTACAGCACTTAAGGGTTTAACAGACAAGTGTGTCCTTAAGTTAACTTAAGGATGAATGCTCAGGGCAGGGCTCTTTGTTGCTCACTGTTCGAGGGGAACATTTTAATTAACCACACTTTTTTAGACTACCTTAGGTTAACTTGAAACTGCAGACAACAGCAAGTTACCCACAAACACGAGGCGTCATTTAGGAGCTGTTTTAGGAACAAATCTGGTCGGTCCAGAAATGCTCTTTCTGCCAACTTGCTTAAGAATAAAGGATGTCATAAGAAGGAAGCAGACGTGTGGTATTTTATATTATTGTTAATGTAAACACAGTTTATTTTTCATTTAAAAAACATCTTTTCTCCATAGCACAATTATTTACTGATGCCCCTCTTCGTGCAGTTTCATGTGGTGTTTTGCACAAAAGTCCTGAAAAATCCTTACGGCAAATGCAAGTGTGAACGTAATCAGAAGAAATGTTCTTCCAGACTTCACTCAGACTTTTTCATTCCAGCCCTCAAAGTAAATTTAACTCTGAAGTAGGGGCGAGAAAAAGTGCCAAAGACTCAGGTCAAAGTCTCTAACATTCACCACGAGTGGGCAGGAGTGATGACATTCAGATCGTGCGATCAGCTCGCTCTGGTAATGAAGATGCTTCAGATTATTTCTGAACCCACCATCCCCCCTGAATCAGGCCGGGGGAAACTTCACAGTGTTGGAGACATGTGTGAATAAGCAACTCGGGTAGATTTCCGGGGCGAGCTGTCCTGTGTGAAGATAATGTTTCATCTTTAATTTACACAGACAAAAACTTTACTGAACTCAATAAACAGGTGATGTCGATCTGTACCGTGCAGCATGAGAGGTATTAGACTTGACTGTGACTGTGAGGGATTCATTCTCTCATAACTTGTGCACGAGGAAGTTGGACTGTGACAGCACTTTAGTTTGTAAAAAGTCAGACACAAAGGGAGCAACGACTTCAGGTTTATCCAGATGAAGGTGGTGATGGCCCGGCACCGTCACCACCGAGTGCTGAAACAAACAGGTACAGAGAGAGGTGTGAATATAGAGTTAGATAGAGAATCATGAACTTCTGAGTGGTTACATGATCAGAACAAACATATTTTCATGACTCACGTTTCCATCCCGAAAACTTTGGAGAAGTTTGGAAGTGAATGTAGCCTTAGCCGGTTCAGCAAGCATTCTGTCAGAACCACCTCCCGCCCTGGAAAAAAATACATTTACATTTATTATATATTCAAATGAATGTAAGGAAAGGTGATGAAATGTTGTATATGTTATTTGTGTTTCCATTCAAACATCAAACTGAATGCAAAATATTGAAAGATTTTTAAAAAGAATGATGTCAGAGTGGGGCTCGCTATGTTTCTGTCGGTACAGATGTACGAGAAGTGCTTACACTTTGTTATCTATTGCAAACATATATTTCAGTGTAGTGCTGGACGACTTACAAAATGAGCAAAACAGAGCCTCGGATCTTCGACAGCATCACCAGACTCTGCTCCAAACTCACGGCCATCATGTTTTTCTGAAAACAGGAAATAAAAACATGTGTTACAAAAATAAAAGCTGAATGGTTTTGCCCCTAGAGGGGGGAAAAAAAAAAAAGGTTGGGCGATAATAGTGACTTACAAAATTAACTCTCAGGTCTCTGGAGAATATGAACCCTGATGAAGAGAAACACATGTCAGCAGATGGCAGAAAGCAAAGTGAGATTTTCCCCCTCAGAGAGGAGCAGAGGAGATAAAGACAAACCTCCTTGGACTGCAGTCAGACCTCGCTCTAAAAGGATGTGGACAGACTGTTCAGACAGACTTTGGTTTGCAGCCATTAGCCTGAAAAGAGAACATAAATAAAACACTTGAGCAGCTGATTTAGGACGCAAAGTTCATAGAAATCTGAGAGTCTATTACACATCTCTAACAACTGGAGTGGCTTACCTTTCAGCTGCCTTTTCATGAGTGTAAATTCTTGTCTTCTCTTTGTTTTTACTCTCAAACTGAATCATTGCATCCATGACATGCCTCATCACTTCTGGTAGCTGTGCCTGCAGGGAGAGACAGAGAGAGAGTATTAACGCAGCTGACATATCTCTAAGGGAAAAAGATGTGGTATGAGGAGGAATACAAATTCAGAAGAAAAACACAGCTCATTTACATTTAAAGCTACAGACACCGAAACAGCCTGTTCTGAGCAGGGCTGAAATAGAGGGGTTTATAGGCATGATCAAATACAGGATCAGAGTGGATTTAGATCAAGAAACTTCACACACATGTTTTGGGAACCTCTGAGACTTATTTAAACTGGTTGAGAATATGTGACCTTTAAGGTTCACCTTAGCTCCACCCCTTTGCTTGTTTCTAAGATGATTCAAAGTGAAGTTGAGATTTAGCGATTCCAATACGGCGACCTCGATCATTCCGCTTTATAATGCTTCCCCTGAAACCAACGAGTGATGGCAGTTAGACTGCGTCCATATTTTGTACAGTCTGATTAATCCACAAAGAAATATGAATGCTCCGCAGCTCTGAAAAACGGTTTCTTACTGAATCTTTAGGTAGAAATCCATAAGTGTCAAGCAGAACAAGAGCATCTACCATCTCAGGATACAAAGCAGTGAACTGTGGGAAACACATTTGGACAATATGATGAACCATGATAGAAATAAACTTCTGTTATATTAGAACAAATAAAAACCTGATGAGACACTTAGACTTACCATTCCTGCAATGTGACCACCTGTAAATAAAAAGAGGAATCACACTTTAAAATCATTTTTAAATCAGCCACATATACAACAGATTAAATTCAGCCATAAAGCTGCACTCACCCATACTGTGAGCGATGATGGAGAATTTCTTCAGCTGCAGAGCTGTGGGAGTTCATTTCACAGATCATCAAACAGGCAGGTTCACGATTTCTTCACAGAAACAAAAAAACTGAGGAAGTTTTTAGATAATCAAAAGTCCTGCTGTGTGTTAGTTACAGGAATAACTAGACTTAGGCCGTCCTGGAGGAGTACAACATCATGTAAAACCAAACCATTAGAAAAAAAATGATTCAACAACTTCACAAACTCACACACCGACAACAACTCTTCTTAGGTCCAACGCATATGCAGCATGAGAGTAGAAAACTCCAGGAGGAAGGTGAGATGACAGGCCGTGACCCACGAGATCCAGCGCCACATATCTGCACTCTGAAAGGAAGATCAACTCAGTACTCAAGGCAGGTTCATATCTTTTCAAATATCTCCTAAAAATACATGTTTCCATATAAGTTTAAAGGGAGTTTTCTGGAAAGAAACAAATGAATCATTTTTGAGTCCATCGCGTTTGAGCTTCAGTGGAGACCAAGTTTATTTTAAATAATCCTTATTTTAAGACCCAGCTCCTTCATGAACACCTACACACTTAATGATATTGATGACGATGATGATGGTTTGGTTTGATAATGACAATGATGATATTTAGGATGGCTTTGTCCATGTTGTGCTCTGCCTTTGTGCACAGCCTGTCAGCACCTGTGTGTTTGTTTGCACTTAGTCAGAGGCGCTGCACGTCAACAGGCAAGGCAGGCAACTGCTCTGGGGCCCCAGACCAGTAGGGGGCCCCTGAGGGTTCACAAACTTAAACAAAGGCAGTGGCCAAAATTTCAGTATGGGAAACCTCCCGAAGGGGGCCCCATCTGACAGCACTCACTCTCAGGAGTTGCATGCATTATCGCAGTGAGAACCAAAGTTTGTCAATAAAATAAAGAAGGAAAATTGAAGAGGAATTATCCGTCTATAGGAGAGAAAAAAGATGCTGGAAACAAGAGGAGTAAGCGTCGTCTGGCAGACATAACGGTGATGAACGCTGGTTGGAGGGCCCCCTAATCGTTTTTGCCTAGAATCACCACTGCACTTAGTGACGCTGTTTCCTCTTCTCTGGATCGTTGCTCGTGTTGTTCTTACTCTCAGATGTACGTCGCTTTGGAAAAAAAGCGTCTTGTGAGTGAATTGTAGAATTATATAATTTTAAATTTGCACGGTCTAAAAGGTGTTCTGCCACAAGCAACAGGTTTCAGGTAAGCACACTGTTGCTACAGCAACAGAAACTGGTGATGGTATAAAGCAGTTACAGTTTAACAGACATTGACACGCTTACCGTTTTGACTGATCCATGCAGAGTAAATTATTGACACAATACTTGTGGCAACTCCTCAAATTCCAGAGCATTACATGGAAGTATGATTTTGTAAGAGTTTTAGTAGAATTTTAGTTCATAAAATATAACAGAACTGTTTCACCTCTCCAACTTTCAAATTTCACTTCCAAATCTCCACAGAGCTTCCTTTGAATAGATGTAACAATGCGCACGTGTTTTGCCCCTGACAAATAAACAAGCAGTGTTACCCAGTTATTTAACAGACTGTCTTCACACGTATGAACCAGTGGTAGTTCACCTTTAGGCAGAAGGGGAATGAGGGTGTTGAATGAACCACAGTTGTCAGCCCAGCCGTGCAGGCACAGCACAGGATAACCATCATCAGGACCCCACACTCGACCTCTGATCTCCCCCCACGGGACCGGGACACGGAGCTCTGAAACTACAACACAGCACAGCTTTTATTCTTCTTAAACTCAAACACAAGAAAATCAGAGAATTAACAGAGAAAAGGCTGAATTCACTTGACAACTATTGTCGTTGCAGCCAAGAGAAATGACTAAAGACATGAGAAAATGTAATTTATTGAACTGATGAGAATTAAACTACATTCATGACTCCTGACAGTGATTAAACTTGTGCAGACTATGTTGCAGCTCTGCATATATTTTTTACCTTCTTTGGCCATAGTTGTTGATGTTGCAAAGCGAACAACTCATGCAGAGGAGCTCGCAAACTTTATAAACTTTAAACCAAAAACCAGAACACGTCCCCAGTCCGTGAAACTCCCGTGGTGGTCTCCGGTCGCTGCTGCCGGAAGAGTTCGTTGTTGGTGAAAGCAGCTTGGACTCTGAGCTCCGGCAGTCATTTCTCCCTCAGTACGGACTTCCAGGCAGCGCCTCCGACACAAATACGAGACGCATCCATGGACGCATCTTAAACTATCCAATGCGGAAACATCCGAGGGTGAGAAAGAGGCAAAATGGATTAGTCCTACAAAATAAATACATGTAATTTCCCCGGAGTGTCCTACTGGGGTCGGTCTCTACAAAACAAGTAAATTCTTATTAGGCCCTCAGTAAAAAGTCAAACTTTCAGGGGCGGATCCAGACTTTTTTAATGGGGTGTCAAAATATTATTTGTACACTTTACTCTATGAAATTACTGTAGCAAGATGTAAGATATGATTGCCTTTATCAGAATATGTTCTTTTGTAAAAACCTATTGCTTTAATATCAGTCACCTCTTTTACCACATTTCTTCTAATCCTCAGATTTAACAAGAAAAATGATTTGTCTAAAATGTTGTTATAAACCTTTTGAGTTCATGTCATTTCTCTGCTGCGATAATCCAGGATGTGGCTGTAGATGAAACTAAAAACTGTACGTGAAACATAGGCTACATACATACTGTATAGTGTACATATATCCAAAATTACTGTACACTGTAAAAACAAAAAGTCATGATAACATAAAATTCTAAATTTTACTTCAAGTCTATGAAAATGTTGTGTTAACTCAATATTATACGTTTATGTCACCTCAACTAATTGAAAGTTTTCCAACTTTGAAAAGTGATTCATATTAAATTAAAAATGGCGAGCACTATTTTCAGTTGAGAGGAGTATTATTCTTTCAGCGATGTGGATGGAGAAGGAGACGTACCTGTGCTGGGCAGTGAGTCTGAACGTGCTCTTTTGTAATCTGGAGAGTGGCTGGATTTCCCGGTTTTCATGGTGAGTGAATAACAAATTTATCCCAATTTATCGTTCATTGTAAGTTCAGTTAATTTTAAGGCAGACCGGACACTAACTTTTTAAAGTTATAGCAACTATTTTTTTTTTGTTTTTTTTACAGTGTATAATGAGAACAGATTGATTTGTTAGATCATCAAACTGGAGGAAAGCAAACTGTTGAGATATCCAACACTATATGCTATGTTTGCCCTGCAAATAAATATATGACTGCTTTCAATAAATAAAAAATCATTGTAGTTCCAGTCTAATTTATCAACAAATATTGATTTATAACTACAAGGTACATTAGAGTTTTAACAGTATACAAAGGGACTCAAGGAAGCTGTAATTGTTGATTTATCTCTATAAGAGGATCATGTAATCAAAATGTACCTCTAAGTTATGAATAGTGTCGACAGAAGTATAATAGTATATTAGAACAAGGTCAGACATATTTAGCATCTCATCTTCTTGTAAAGTCGAATAGAATAAACTCTCAGTGGAGAAGAGGATGAGAGACACAGTCAGCTCAGGTGGAGAAGGACTCGTTCTTCTTCACAACTACTTCAAAGATACAGTAAGTTCATCTTTCACTCAAGAACGCTCCTTTACTTCTCACAAACTTTTGAGATGAAACATGGACTTAAGAGTCAGTGTGCAACTAATAAAATATTAACAAGAGGCAGCAGACATCTCAGGCATGCAGTGCATCACAAACACTCTTCAAAGACAACAGGTACCAGGTGATAGTACAGATCCATGCCTGCAAATACCTGAGGGGCAGCAGGAAGGTATCAAGCCAAGAGCAGAGTTCAGCAGCCTGAACTAGTGTCAGACAACAAAGTCTAAAAGATGATGAAGATCTTAAACCGACCATTCTTAAGAAACTCTGAGATTCTTTTTAAGCATGTAGGCCTAAGCTGTTTATCTCCTCTATAACTATCAAATGTGGCACTTTTATATCACACTAAATGCATATAAAACATTTACACCCAGCGGCCGCTTTGTGAGTGTATAAAATAGTAGGCCTACACAAAGTACAGTCATTGAATCTTTACATAATAATCAGTTTATGTTGAAGGTTTCAGAAATGTGTACATTTACAAATGTTGTTTTAATGTGCTTTAATGAACGTTAGCTAGAAAGTTGTTGATGCTAACATTAGTTGTTGTAGCTAGTTAAAGGCTTTATATGTGATTTTTCACACTTAAATGTAATAGAAATCAAGTATATCCTCTGAAAATAACTCTGTGAGTCATGACTGTCTACAATGGGTGTAACACCCGAGTCCCACTGTCTGTGATGCTTTCAGTTTTATCTTCAGTTTGTTTACATCGCCTGGACGGCCGGCTGACTCCTCCCCTCTCGTATAAAAGTTGTTTAATTGAGGGACTAGAGAAAAGAAGAAGAACATACTGTACTCACTGCTTAACTGTGTTTCTAGATCACGCTCATTTCAGGTAAATTTACATGCAGTGTGAAGATACCAGCATAATTAAGATCGCTAGCATTAGCATGCTAACACAACAATGCACCGCGAGTTGTTTTGGTTTCATGATGGTGCTCAAGGGCGACATCTACTGGATCAAAAAAAAATCACATATGAAGCCTTTAATGACTAATCAAATATTTGTTTTATAGTTTAAATCTTGAAGGCAGTCCCTCCAGTTGCTGATCTTATGAAAGCAGTAAAATGATGGTCGGTCTATTTGTTAGGTACCTTTTACATTTTAACACACTAGTACAATATCATAAACTGATTTTACCTTTCCACCTTTATCACTCTGACCATGACGTCACTATTCAATATTAAGTCAGTATGCCAATGTTTGAATCCAACTAAAAACACCTTCAAGACAAAACAGCCTGCCACAGGCGGACTCAGGATGTTTGGGGCCGGGGCGAGAATGTAAAAGGGCACGCTATAGGACACTTCATCATGTTTTGCCCACTAAGAGGGCTCCCCGGAGGACACTTCATGTTTCATCGACCACAAGGGCATCCATCATGGGGAGCCCGGACACATCATGAGGGCACTTTCGCTGCAGTTTTCCCCTAAGGCCCCCCCCTGAGTCCACCAGCTCCTCGCCATCAAAGCTCTTCTCTCTCTAATGAAAAGTGAGCTGAGTCCTTCAAGATGATCCACCATGTAATGTGGATTTAAAAAAAATCACATCTCATCTGGCTTTTCTTTCCCGCTCACTCAGAAGTTGAAAGCTTACCTTTTGGTTGAACTGTTTTTGTTTTGTGGTGAGTAACGAGACAGCTGTGGGATATGAAGACTTTAAGTTCAACAAAGACAAAACTGTACGCTGTGAGGTCGAGAAAAGTGAGTTTTATAAGAGCCTACATAACCGCTGGTTGCGGCGAGCAGCTTGAAAGTACATTAGTTGCTGCTAGCTTGACTAGGAGCCCAGTTTCGACAAAGAATGCTCTGAAATGTTTCACGTCAAC